CACGACATGCGAGTTCAAAATTAATCCTCCCATACTGCTGACATTCGTTCGGCGACGAAGGTGGATTATTGTTGTACTAGTAAATATCTACCCCCCCCCCCCCCCCAGCGCAACCTTCTACCATTCTTTGTTCTACTCTTCGTGCGTTATAGGATCATCAATACCGATGAAATAACACTGAATTGGTTTCTACTGGCAAACCCGGCCATATCGAATTTGGGCAAACTGAAATACTTTTACAACTGTCTTCGAACATGGACATGCTTTAACATGAATGAATAGCGTAATGTACGGCTAGATCTGGCAAAAGTAGCCGAAAGACTTGATATAGGGAACATCGGACACTGCGAAACGCCTTAAAAAGTTGGCTTATCTTCCCGAGAAGGCTTTTAAAAATTAATTTGGGAAATGAAGCGGTGTCATTAGATGGACTTCATGCAGAGTGAGGAAAAACTACCGCCTAACATTGCATGATTTCTTCAATGATTCCTCATCGTCGCACCCATCGCCCAGTCGTGTGGAGTCAACGTTCACTCTCTGCTTTCTTTGTGAACGCAGTTGCTTTCACGAAACAGAAGAGCGCGAGTATTCTCTTCGAGGATAATAATTAGCACAGGTGAACGCAGAGAAGTCTGACGTGGTTGCTACCTACAGCATCCCAAGAAGCACGCTGAATATGAATTGTGAAAACAAAGCCAAAAATAGGGCCAAGGCGGAGTTGACGTTTGAAGTGCCCAAAGAGTACGTACAACTCCGTATGAAGATTCTCAGACAATATTTACATCAATCCCGTATTTATTCGCGTACAACCCACTCCCGCATATAATCGGTTCTTCTAACTACAAATTATGAAAAAAATATATTGGGTTATTGTAAAACCATCTTTGTCACAATATGGGGAAGCTGTGCCATGAACACAACCCATGCACCGAAATTCACACCGAAGATGACCTCCACTACGGCGTCTCTCATAATCATATGGTGGTTTAGGGACGTTAAACCCCACATATCTATCACACCGAAGATGTGGCCCAATCCTCACAAAATTTTGTATCAGATAACACGCCATGTCAAGACAATTTCTTTTTTTTTTCTTTTCCTTGTAACATTGAATATCTGGGCTTGACATTGGAAGAGTGGCTCACTGATAAGAGTGTGGCATTAAACCCCAACTTCCGCGATCGCTAAAAAAGGGCAAACTTTCATTAAGCCTGTGAGTATAAAACACTGAAAGGTTTTTCACCTGGCAAAAATAAGGAAAGTGACAGGTAAAACAGAAGACTCTGTACTTTATTCCTTTGTTCGCTGACTGAAAAAAACAAACCTGCCAGTATCACTCACACCAAGTAGCCCAAGCTTCAACTCTACAAAAGAAAAGAGTTGACTTTATTAACGGAACGTTGCTAACCATTGCAGATAGAAAGCAGCAGAGAATGTAGGTAAAGATACTAGCAGGCGCTCACAGCTTTCAACAGTATAAGCCCTTACGTGAGAGTAACACGAATATATCTTCGCGTCAACGAAAACATTCACATGATATTAGGGCAAAAGCACTGTGGAACAGTATAGCTTTATTTAATTGCTCACCGTCACAATACGATGCTGCCGACGGATTCTAGTTCCGAGTCGTGATTTCGCACGCGTGACTCAATATGGTGAAAAAATTCGGCAGATCCCACGTACCCGGGTATCGGCATTATGCGAACGAAGCATGCGGAGGGAAAGTGACCACGCATTGCATTTTTTTTATTGAGCGACACGTCATGAAATGATGCTAAATATATGTGCAAATTTGCCACGCACAGGCATCTGTTGAAGAGTTGCAGATGTTTATATAACCACTTGTTTGCACTTGGACAACGATGCCAACTGGAACATGCGTATTAGCAACACCAGAAGCTGATATGATGAGCTGATGCTCGCGAAGATGCTGGCCCTGAACACTGCAACATAAATCAACCTCAGCGCATGACTCTAAACCACCATTGGCGTAAACCTGACGGGACGGCTGTATCAAAGGATTACATTTGTAATGTTAAAAAAATTGGGTATATAGGCAGCCCTGCAACTACTACTGAAGTTTCATGAAGATTAGCGTCTATTTGGAAAGAAGTTGCGAGACCTGGCGTAGCTCTGTCTTAGAATGCTTCATCGCCACGCAGAATGCTTTGGTTAGATTCCAGCTAGAACACTGACATCTATTATTTGCATTCGTCAGGTCGAGGCTACCTATGGCAATTTTAACGCGTGAGCGTTAAGATCTTAACGCTCACGCGCTAAAATTGCCCATTCTTGTTCTCGTCGTTCCGGGGTAAATACTGAGTGTCAACCACCACCAGCGCGTCAGATTAGTCAAATCATCTTACCTTTCCATGCTAACTTTGGTTCACCCAAATTTAAGGGGGTGACCACGAGAGCACGCACACGTAAGCGGCTAGATAGATAGACAGATAGATAGATAGATACGCTCAATGTCGCCGAAGTTCACCGAGAAATGCTTCGCATTTAGTCACCCTAGCTTTTTGTATATTCCACAAGTATATACAGCTGCCGACTTTTAGGTAGTTCACAATACAGGCTTGTGTCTGTACTTTTATTTTGATAAAGTTGAAATATAATTTATATTCAATGAAAAAAAATACGAAAAAGGTCTCGCACTTCTCGTAACGCTACAGCCGTAAAATGTTTACTTGGCAAAACGTAGTTGTGACGTTTTGCCAATAAAAGAATATTTAATGGTGCCCTATGAAGGGTTTGCTGAATCATGAATGTTTTTTAATGTTGGCATCTTCAGTAATGTACAAGACGACGGCAAAGAAAAGAACTAGCGTAATTTTACGTTCTTTAGGTACAACTGGATTCTATGTCCCTGGTTCATTTCTTACAAAATAAATAATCCAGCATCATCGGTTCCCCCTTCATAACATTCGGTAAAATGGGCACTTTTATAATCTTACACAAACTCACGCTGCATACATTGTAACGTATCTATTATTATGTAGAATTCAACTAAAAGAAGAAAACAAATACTGCATAATCTTTTCCTAAAATTGTCGTGAAAAACGTTCAAAGCGCTTTCTTTCTGCGTTGTTTAGGTTATAAAAAAGTGTGGTTGGTGGTTGAACATCAACCGAAGGTTATAAGGTCACTAGGACGTGTTGTTGTACTTCAATTATTTTTTTCAAAAATGCCTGTGATAGAAACGCTGGTACTAACTAAAATAAGGCTTTGAAGAAAGAAACACACTTGCATAAATAAAAAAAAACGTTTTTGATTTAAAACATCAGTATTCACAGAATATGAACATGTATTTATATTCAGAACACAACTGCAGGTTCGAATACGAATGTTGGTGGCACAAATGTGGTTTTGGTAACTATTTTTTGTCATAATTTTACGTTATTACTCTTCGAAAGTTACAATATATGAACTATGTGCTACATATATATGCATAATAAATTCGCTGAACGTTTGAAAATGCGCGTGTCACTTGGGCCTTGGCTCTCGGCTTGCAGATACATGCAAGGAATTTTCTCCGTACTGTTATTTTTTTATTTACCACATCATTTTTGTTTCTTTCATTATAGTATTCCCTACATTTTTTGGCGCATAATATAGCGAAATGATATCTTTAAGATTCCTTCTGCCTCAATCTGCACAGTGTTTCATGTGAAAGAAAAGAAGAAACACGCGTGCGACGTACCTGTGCAGCAGAAGTCTTATCTTCTTGGCCTTGCGAAAGAGGTATGGCCTCCATCCTAAGCAATCAAAGCTCGTATTTCGTGTGTGCAGCGGGAAGTTCACTTGGGATGCCTATAAAAGCCCGCACAAAGGGCCACCGCCAAGAAGAACTCACCGGGATTTTTGATTCAATGAAGCCAATGTGGAAAGCAAACCGATCGAAGGTCCCCACGACACTCGAGTTGTGTAAGCGACGCAACCCCTCATTACAATCCCTGTTTCCTCCTGAAAAGAGGAAGCTTTCGTGCTTTGAAGCCACTGGGTTTTATCAGAGAGAATTCTTTTCGTTGACCTAAAAGGCAAGCAGTTCGAGTCACCCCCTTTCGGTCTCTGCTCGCTAGCTTCGTTTCTGAAACCATTCTTGGGCTTTTGCAGTTCACTTGCTCTTTACATCAGTTTAACACGAAATTTACAAATATTTAATTTTCTAACGATCTGCAAGTCTCAACGGCAGACTGTTGGAAAACAATCACAAGATGCTTTATATTTACAAAAATTACACCATCCCCCACTAAAAGGAAGGAAAATAGCAGAAAAAGAACGGCAGGGAGGTCAACCAGCCTATAGGCAGTCGGTTTGCTACCATGCACATGGGAGGGGGATGGGGGAGATCAAAGATAGAGAGGAGAGAGGGAAGGAAACCACGAGTAGTATACATGTGAAGGAGCGCATATGTCTGGGTCAACTTGAATTTCCCTTTATCCTAGGGACCTTGCCCCATGTTAACGCGTCCTTGCAAGTATATGAAGCCCACCATAGTTTCTTTTGCTGTTCATCGTCCCAAAATCTTATTGGAGAATGAGACGCGAGTTCATCGTCACGCCCGCGGCAGAACTGGGGTTCATCGCGTGTCTACAGAATATGGTTCCCCGACGTCATCACATCATTGCTGAGAGTTTAAAAGGGAGAGGCCGCAACGTCTTTTCCAGACCCTTACACAGAGCGGAAAGCGCTAGCGCGTGAACATGTTCTGGAAGTGCCGAGCTTCGCCATAAGCTGCTTGGCATCTAAATAGAGATCGAGGGTATATGTTGGCCTTTTACTGCGATAGCAATTATGTGGACACTCTCGGCAAGATTTTGCCGCTTGCGTCGGTGTCGCCGTCACTCACCCCGTATATATATATATATATATATATATATATATATATATATATATATATATATATATATATATATATATATATTATATATATATATATATATATATATATATATATATATAGTGTAAGAATTCATTCGACTTCATCTTCTCATCTGTCAATAACCATCATCAGTCTTCGTCCCGTTCCTCTCAAAGACATGTCGCGGCATAGTTCGAATCTTCAAATTAAGGTCCCCAGGCGCGCCATCTATATGAGGTTCACCTTCTGCCACAAAGACTTGTTCTCGGCCATCCTTCATGCCAGCCCCAATTTCCACCTCCAAAAGTTTCTCTTCATTCACCAACTTGCCATTGGGGCACTCATCGCAGACCGTCTGTTGCATCATTTGGAAGCGCCCGAGGCCCAGCTGTCGGGTAACCATCTCCTGGAAACAGTTGCAACGGCGAGTGCCTTTGGCTGGTTTCGCTACTGGCTTGTTGCGGAAAAGCTCCACAAAGTTGCCCTGATACAGCTCTTCCAAAGTGACCCAAAGGTCCATGACCATATCAGCACCACGTGGGATCTCGCATGGTGCTGATGAAGAGGAACGGGACGAAGACTGATGATGGTTATTGACAGATGAGGAAGATGAAGTCCAATGACGTCTTACACTATATATAAAGAAAAAAAACTTCGGTGTGCGGAGTCAAACTTGGAACCTCTGCAAGGTGAGTGTGAGAAGCGTCAACCACGGCGCCACCGAGCAGCACGTCCTTCAACATGCAATCGGCAAGCTCCTTATATCTGCCACTTTCCGCTGGTGATGGGCATCTCAGGGGAGAACTATCGTGTTTTCAGCATTACCAGCAACATGGCGAAACGAGCACATGGTGGCGCGCGCCCCCATCTCCGACGCGTACTCTGCCTCGCGAGGAGGAGTGGGTGGTCGTGAAGCCCCTGAACACACACTCGCGCGCTCTTATCTCGAAGTTGGGAGCATCTTACGTCTTGGCTGTCCTTAAGCTTTCACAGGAACGATTCTGTTGTAGTTAACGGGCGCACGAAGGTCACTGCAATTGTTGCACGGTATTAGTTTGCGAAAAGAGCACGCTTTTCAGACACAGTGAAGTAACAACTGAGACGCTTATTTGCGTTCATCTGTACCTGTGGGCCCGTTTCGTGGGTTATTTTTGCGTGAGAAACGCAGTGCACGTTTCGATCTGCTTGCCATTGTGCGCGTGACCTTCCAATTTGTTGCTATCGCGTTCTTTGCTTCGCCTTTGTGGTGAAGCTGCGACTTTTTTTGATAATTCAAGGCAAAGGCAATTTTTCTGAAACTGCTTGCTCCGGTTGAATGTTGAGTTCAAAAATAAGTCACTTTTCTAAATTGTGACGTAACCAAACCTTTCATGAAGCAAGCATTGTAACCTGACTCAATGCTTACACACACACACACACACACACACACATATATATATATATATATATATATATATATATATATATATATATATATATATATATATATATATATATATATATATATATATATATATATATATATATATATATATATACATATATGTATATATATATATATATGTATATATATATATATAGATATATAGATATATAATTAAGAAATAAAGGAACACACGAAAATTTGACATTAGTTTACTCTACGTTTCGGCCGTGCCACGGCCGTGATCCTGACGAAGGCCGTGCCACGGCCGAAACGTAAACAAATATCAAATTTTCGTAAGTGTGCTCCTTTATTCCTTAATTATATTTGCACCAGACCCACAGAATTTCCTTTTGAATCATATCAAATCCGTACAAATAAAAAAATCCGTACTCGCATATGATTATAAAATCGGAAATAGCCTTCTGACCAGAACACACAGCTTTAAATACCTGGGGGTGACTATTACCAGCGATTTGGGGTGGCACACTCATGTTGAGGAGGTGTGTTCAAAGGCCTACAGGAAGTTGTTTTACTTGAGGAAAAAATTCGAAGATGCCCCTAGAGATGTGAAATTACTTTCATATAAGACATTTGTTCGCCCTATTTTGGAGTATGCGTCTTCTGTATGGAGTCCTCATCAGCAGTCACTGAGAGATAAAATAGAAAAAATTCAAAGGCTAGCAGTGCGCTTCATTTGCTCGCGGTACCGGAGGACAGAATCCGTCACAAATTTGTTAAAATCATGTGCGCTAGAACCCCTGCAAGTGCTCCGCGAAAAGCAAAGGTTAAAACTCCTGTTTCAAATTATAAGAGGCGAAATCAAAATAAATAAAGACACATACATACAACCTGCACCCAAACGAGGAGCTCGGTTGCACCATAATCACCAAATAAGGCCTTTTTGGGCGCGCCTGGATGGCTTTAAAAATTCTTTTTTTCCTTATAGTATAGAAGTGTGGAATAGACTTCCAGAGTACGCTGTTACTAGCGCAAATGTCAAAGAGTTTGAGTGTTCGCTAGAATTGTACTACCGGCAACATGAAACGTAATGTCTGTTTTGTCATTGTGTATTGTTTTTGTTTTGTGTTTATATTCCTCCCTGTAATGACCCTCAAGTGAGGGTTACAGTATTAATAAATAAATAAAATATATATATATATAATCGCTGACGTGAAACCCTAAATAGCCTTTAGGTGTGCTTAGTATCATTTAGCGTTACGTCACCAATTGCAAAGTATGTGCACACAAGTGATCAAAACAACATAAAGCACCTTGATGAACCGCAGGCCTTGATAACCATTGATGCAGCATGTTTCAGCTGCATTGGTTCATTATATCTACGAAGTGCTTCAGCTGGGAGAGTATTAAGGCTCTCTCCTTCTTAAACTCTCTCAGCAATCACATGAAGGCACAGAGGCGCGCGCGGCAAAGCTCCTTCGTCAGACGCCTCTGTGTAGCAGTCGGGTTCGTCGGATGGCTCCCTCTCGCACGTGTCTTACTTGTAGCCCGGCCACAATCCGCCCACTCATGCAAGAAGGGAGACGTGTGCATCACGTTCCTCAATGAACACAGGATTTCACCGAACACATTTTAGAATTTACAAAGTGTCCTTCAAATTCTACAGCACATTTTGAGAGGGACATAAGGTCTGTCTCCAAGACTCTTCGCTAGCAGCAGCCGAAATTTTCACCAAAGACGGTGAAAATTATCAACATTCCAGAGGAAAGTCAAAGCAACATTGGTCAAGAAATAAGAAAAAAAAATCAATGCTAATTTATAGCCAATGTTCGGTAATAAGTACGCAAGGTTTGCTGCGAGCAGCCGTGTACTGTTTGACAGCCCCCTAAATGATGAACGAGGTGCCCACGCGTAACACACACAAACACAATCGCATAAATATAGCCGCACATAAAGAATGTAGTCGCACACGAAGCCTCTCAATAAACGATCGCAATACGAGCGCTAATTATTTTTCTGTGCTTTTGTAGAGCTCCTTACCCAAATCATTATAATAACGCGAATGAATCACGACCACCAAACTAAACAGCTTAGTGACATACAAGTTTTTGTGTTCACAACCTCAATTGGTTCAATATTTCTTATTAGCGCAATGTTCACGTCGTATATTCTCCAAGAAAGTGCATTTCACTGTAAAAAAAAGCCTCCTCGCCCCCCCCCCCCCCATCCCCAAGAAAAAAAAACTACTCGCTTAGACTTTGTGAAACATTGAAACATGGTTCGACTGTGGCTCATTAGAGGAAATGAATGTTTTGTGAAGAATGGGTTTAGACAGAATCTGGTAGATGGCCAATGTATTGGCTCTAAATTTCCGAGCTTCCGAAGCAGCACATAGGTGGGGCACTTCCGTGGAAACGTTTTGTGAGTAGCGAGGTAACGGTGGCCAGCGCACATGTCGCTGCCACATTTATTCTATAGGAAGCTTGAGTGCAAAGAGAACAGGCGGTTACAGTGAGCAGTCTAGTTTTTAATAAAAGCACCCTCCATACTTTCATGGCAAACGTTCTTCGTTGGACCCATTATGCTTCATAATAGTAGACAGAGGGAAATATGGTGCTAGTATCTATGGGAAATGCAGCCAGCATGGGAACGTTGGGTATTACATGAATTTGCCTAACCTTCATTCTTTCGGCTCTGTCTTGCCTGCAACTAAAGAAGTTATGTAAATGTTCAGCAGTCCCTCTTGATCGCCCTGGCACTACAAGGCTAACCAACTGAAATCAGCTCACGAGGTTTACAATAATCCATTACTTAATCGAAACAAAAGCCAGAACACAACAATATACAATGCCACAAGTCTGCTAGAAAGCAGCAGCAAAAATAGGCAAGCGCATGTACTACCCATCATTCTTATTCTGGATAAACTATCGCTGTGCCACACTTCCATGTAATGAATTCCGCAAAAAAAAAAACTATCGCTATTCGTACAACGGCGGCTATAATTTGAGTTGTAAGTATAATTCGAAGATGTTCTGGACTTAGTCGCGCAAAATCTCGCGAAAGTGACGACATTTTCAAGAATGATCAAACGAGCTTTCTTCAGCCCCAGTTATTTTTGGAGTAAGGGGAAAGCCAAGCAAAGAAAAAGAAATAGTTGTTCTCGGCGAAACACGTACATCCAACCTTTGTTTCGCCACGTCGAGAAACTGATTAGTGCGGTGACATCATTGGTACTAGTGCTGATATTTTTGCATGTATATAAATACCTCTTGTATATACTTAAAGAGCTTACATTTGTAGTAACATTCTATAAGGCCTTTAAGCTCAATCCGTATATTTAAAATTTTTAATATTTAACCTTTGCAGAGTACCACGAATGTTTTATTGTTCTTTTTTTCTTTTCATTTCCTTTCTTCTTGCTTTGCTCATTTCTATTGATATTGAAAATAAGTGTATGGTTTGAAACTAATATTGCTAAAACTACATTTTACGTCTATCATTTGGTAAACTACGCTTTAGCATCAATTAATTCTTGTGGGAGCAAAAAATATTTTCTGGACTACCAAAAACAACTGTTTTTCAGCGCGAAAGTGTTTTAGGCCTATGTTCATCACAGCTCCGATAGCGTACTTCCATCACAAATATGACGTCACAAAATACATACTAGCAGAATGCGAAAAACAAAACAAGACGGAAACGTTCTGTCGCAGAATGTCGAACCATCGACCTCTCACTCCGCTGCACGCAGCGCTCACCAATACGCCATACAAATTTTGTTTCTATTTATGCACTACGCCTTACAGCGAACGTTGTTCAGAGAGCTAACGTGAGTCATTTATATTCACCATACACTGTTTGGTGGTCCTCAGAGCTCCGTCCTCAGCACGTTTTTGTCATCAGTAACGCGATGGTGTGACGGCCTGATGTTGTGCTTGCTTCCAAGGTCGTAGTCGGCTCTTGAGTTTCGATGAGTGCCGCTTATGTGCGCGCTCATTAGACTTGTAATTCTGCAGAGCACGAAGGTCCCTTGCTCACTGCCGCAGCCGCGTTTATGAAAAGAGCACGCTGTCACAGACAAAGAAGCAAGAATTGCGACAGATGTTTGTCCTTGTTCTGTGTATCCATGTACGTTCATTTTGCAA